TTTTTTTTATTTCTCTCTCTATAGATGATAATTATATATATTTTTCTGTTTATCATCTTATTAAGGTGGCTCGATAGGGTTTTCAACGGCAATACCTCTCACCCTTGACTATTATCTACGACTCTGTTAAAACAAAGATTTTGAAAAATGACCTCCACAGCTAAGATACTTAGATAAAGACTGACGAAAATTTGTTATGATCAGCGTTACAATGACATCAAAGTTGCCATAGATTAGGGACATTAGATTATTACAGTATTGTAAATATTTCTCGTTTAATTTGACTTTAGAAATTTCCTAGCATTGTTATCCTGACATTGCGCCAAATATTGGCTTTCCATCTGGTCTCATCCTGGTGCTGAAAGCAGTGCTTGCTGTTTTTTTTTTAATTCCAAACTTTATTATATTCATTTTAAAATCACTGGCGATTCCTGCAATCTGATTGGCTCTCAGCAGTGTGATTAATTCAAAAATCACACTATTTTTCGCTTTAAATCACATCTGTTCTAAATCGCGTCATTCGTGTTCTAATGATACGTATGATTTCAGATCAAATTGCAGGGCACGAAGTTCGATTACCATTAATTATCACACTCGGAACGAGGGGCGCTAATTAAATATGACCAAAGGTAACTTTTATTTCCTAGTTAAAGCTCCAGAGCGTTAAGTAATTTTTGATTAACTTACATATAAGTATCATTGTCCAAGGCTTCGTTGCTGGGTGAATGAGTTTCATTCATTTCCATGTTTTCTGCAGTCTTTACCTTCCTGACGATTGACAATTCACTGTCAATTTTTCGAGGTTTTTCCCTTTTAAACGGAGAAAAAGGCGATCAGAGAAGATCTTTCTTATAGTAAAAACAGACTGCAAGACAGGTTAATTCTTTACTTTAGACCCAATTTTTAGGCCATAAAGTTGCCATACGTAAGTATCACTTGTTGATCCCTGCCACCCCGTCTAGGTTCGATTATTAGCCGCTGTTCAGGAAACGAATGCAGAAATTCCATACTGATGCGGTGACACTACCCATGCCAGATCGGGGTAATGGTTCTGATTGGGGGAAGCAAATTTACGGCCTACCCAGATCTAGGTTGTGACGTGTCATCAGTATGGAATTTCTGCTCTTGTTTCTCAGACGTCATTTCGTGGGAATTTTATTAATCCCATAAATTCCGTAGATTTTATAAGAATTAAGGTGGCACAGGTACCTTTTTTTCTTATTGCACCACCACACAAGGATTACGACAATGATGATAATCACCACCCCACTAGCAACACAACCAGCAATGATATATTTCATATTGCTTTCTTTCTCCGTAGGTAACACCCGTGTAGTGGCGGTTGTAATCGGCGGAGTTGAAGATGTCGCTGTCGTTGTGTCTGCAAAAAGCGTTTGTACACTTGATATGTTGGCATTGAGGGCGCTTGAAATGCTTGCCAGAGAACTCTGAACGATGGCAACCACGACAGCTTTCGGCATGACGGTAAACGACGATCCAGCCGGAGACTGTATGTAAAATGAAATATTTGCCAGGAGTGGACTCACTGAAATCTGTTTTGGGTAACCAGGCAACACGTGTACTTGGTTCTCTGTAAAGACCAGGCTTCCCGCTGATCTGCGTTTGCGTCGAGAGCTTAAAATGGGAGTGGATTTGTTGTCTTTTTGTTATTTATTATCATATTATATTTATCATAACTACAATGTATAAGCATCATCATCATCATCATCATCATTATTATTATGATATATTGTTGTTGTTGTTGTTGTTGTTGTTGTTGTTTTGTGCAGATTCCTTACTTCACAGCTACTTTCTTAATCTCCGGATCAAAATATTGAAATGATGACAAATTTAGTTAAACTGTCAAGAAATGAGTCTATGGAGAATTAAGCATCCATCCATTCTTCAAGCAATCAATCAGTAAAGCAATAAATCGACAAGTAGTCAATACCTGGTTTCCGTTGATTGACAGTTGCTACCTGTCAAACAATGATCTGTAGCTGCTTGTGCAACGGACTGCTTGAACGCGTCCTCCTTTGGTTTATTCCACTGCAATAAGAAAAATTAGCTGAGAGATCTAGAAATTAGAATGTCACGCTAGTTGACCTCTCTTTTAAAAAGCTAAAATCTGCAATTGTCTTCGTTTCAATTTAATTCCAAAAATAATGGTTAATTTTGTTATTTAAGATTATATTTAGACATTTAAACTGTTTCTTGTCGTCTGTTGCAACGGAGGGCAAGGATAATAATGTATTAAAAACTGTCAACTTTTTTCAAGTTATAATGTTATGCCTGCAAAAATCACCAAAAAGGTTATCATGGTTATTGTTGACTATTGATATCTTCTTCATAACTGTATAGAAACATTTCGTGTATAGGGTAAAGGCAATGACTTTTGCACAGAATTAACCCAAAACAGCAATATCCTTGTGTCTAACTCGTGGCTCAATATTGGCGCCTTTAAGTAACTATTGAATTTGCCCCTTTGGTTTGATCTGGAGCGTCTTACAAATTGAGGAGGGGGTGCTCCTTTTACCTCACTTTCGCTTATCGGAGGGCAGAAAGATGGGTTTTGTTTTTAGTCAAATGATGGCCATTTTCGCAAGGTAGGTTTTCAAAAAATTCCAACTAATTGATTGCCAGAAAAATGGCTCACCTCAGAAATATTTAATCCGACATTTACGCTGACTGATTCGGCCGTTTCTTCTGCAGAAGGTGTTCTCGGTGTTGATGCGGGTGGAGGCGGTGGAGGAGCTTCTCCTTTACCAAGTCCTTTGGAAAAAAAGAAATAAATATATTTATTATTCATTCAAAGTATTTCTCTTATTCTGATTGGCTAAAGCACACGCATAATTCACCATAACCAGCTACTGATGACCAGCTTTGAAAGAATTTTGCGATAAATCAACCGATGACGTCAAAAGTGCAGCTTCCTTGCAGTTAATGCACCGTTCACCAAGATACCTGGGGACGAGGTTCAGTTGTTTAGGTTGTGAAAACAAAAATGGCGGAAATTTCACTCGTTTCAAGAGTAAGAACTAGGCGAAATAATAGTTAAAGACATGGCAAGAACAGCAAGAAGACAACTCGAATTGCGACATCGGCTATTTGGAGAATATGTGCGGATCTGAACAACCTTAAACGTGCACCATCTAGAATGAACTTAACATCGACGGTGGTAAGCATTTTTTAGCTATGTTTTTAAACTAGCAATTATTTTGAATGAATAATAAAACAATTATTGAATTCGGCTTTCGTATCATCTGAAGAATTATGGAGATCTCGGAGGGTGTCCTCCGCCTCGGCCTACGGCCTCGACGGATAACACCCTCCTCGATCTTCATAATTCTTCATAAGATACTCAGTCTCGTTCATTAATTGTTAATATTTTGTATTAAGCTGATTTCCTGAAAGGAATAATCATTCCAGTTATTCTTTAACAGAGGCAGGATTCATAATTCTAGGACACAGGATTGGTTTGGGACACAAACATGGCCGCCGTTTCATTGTTTTGGGACACAAATATGGCCTCCATGACGTCATGTGAAAACACACAATATTAGAACAAATAATTCAAACTTAAGATAAAAGGATTAAGATCCCAAAAACATCCGGCAACCAGTTGGCTATTTACAAGCGTCTCCGAGGATTTTAACTCGGGAAAAACGAAAAAAAGTCCTGCAAGTGGCCAAACTGGAACTCGAACCCGGGACAACCGGATTAAGAGTCCGACGCGCTGACCAAATGGCCAAGCAGCCTCCTGTAATGATGCTGTAGTACATGTGTTACAAAGATATTATGGTTTGGTAATGAAAGACAATCAGGAACTCGGAAATGTTGAGAATACCACTCTTATGCACTGCTAGTGGCCAAAGGTCCTTCGAATTTAGAGCGACGTCCCCTTTGGAATAAGCTACAACCAGAGCTCAAAGTAAGCGAATTCGTTAAAAGTTTTAAGCGTCAATTAGGCGACTTCTTCTAGACGCCTCCTTTTAATTTAGTTAGTTAATTATTTTTCGTGTTTTGAGCTTTATGTGATTAATATTATTACTGTGACATTGACTCTGAAAGGCCTGTTGGGACAAACCAATAAATATGTATGTATGTAAGTATGTATGTATGTAGGAACATGGTAAACTGTAGAAAATCACCAATGATAGTGGCAAAACAACTTTGACTGAACAATCTGTTAAAGATGAGTCCAAATCATTGATAAATCAGAACAAATTAAAGTCATGGCTTGATTCAAATAACAACTGAATTCATTTGCAAGCAAACCTTGGCATTTGTTGTCAATCCAGTACAAATCTTCTCCACAGACGCACTTGTAAGATCCGTGGAGATTACTACAAGTCTGGGAAGCATCTTGACATTGGAAAGTGAATTCCCTGCATTCATCGATATCTTATAAAGAGAACAGAGGTAGACCAAAACAGTTTAACAAAGTTAAATGCTCCAAGATTATACCGAAATCAAAAACTAATTGCGGACAATCTAATGAGTCAATTTAAAATGGAAATGATTATCAGTTTGCATGCTCCGCTTTCACTAATTTTCTTAGTCTTATTTTATTAAGAATAATCTTTTTTTTATTTAAAATTATTTGTTGGTCAAAAATAATTAAAGCTTTGCATGGGTAATTTCAGTTGATGGACCCATCATCATCATTAACATTATCTTCATCATTATCGTAATCATTTTCATTATTTCTCCTATTTATATATATATCTATATCTATATCTATATATCTTTCCTTTTTTATCAGTTTTGTTTTCTTTCAATATATGCCCGAGAAAAACAAGTCAGAACAAACTGGATACCGTTGCAAGTGTAACCGTCACTGTCAAGACTAAATCCGTCTGCACAGGAGCAATTGTAACCTTCCATTCGATTACTACACGTCTGACTGCATAGACTTTTTCCAGTCTCACATTCGTTTATATCTGGAAAAGAGGAGTAGTTAAAGTATAATTATGTGAAATCATACCATTGTACGTGACATATCATAGAGCAGGGTTGCCCTTTGATTAGTCAGCTACACAACCATTTTTAGTGTCGTCAGGAAACGCTCCTTCCCACAAACGGCTGCTGAAAACCAAACTACATTCCTTTCCCTTTGTGTTTGTGGTCTAACGAACTAGCCAATCATGTGAAAGAAATTTAACAATACGTGAGCCGCAGGGCGCCAGGAAGCGAGCACGCTTCTCAGTTTTCGACCGATCAATCAATCGTCGCTGAATTTAGACGGGCTCTTTGTTTTTAAGCAGCGAAAAGGTTAATTTGCAAAAAATTTTGTCTTCAGCGGTCAAGAAAGTTCCAAGTGAAAAAAAGGGTTTGATAGGCTTAGAGGACTTTTACCAAGACCTCCCTAGGCAACCAATTATAGTCGCCAAGTTTCATTTAATTCTGCGATGTCCACCGTAACTGTTAAATATCTTTTTTTAGAAACCACGACCTGGCGGAACGCTCCCAGACAAGGTCAGTGGACACTAGTATGGTTGGGTATCGAGACGAAGCCCTTTACTGGTAATCTTAGATAGTTACAACAGGTCATGCCAACCTGGATTACTTCAGTAACAACTTTCGTTCTAGCGACCTTGTTCCTAAACTACTCATGTTTTAAATGATCAGCTGCCTGAATAAAGTATTTGTTTAAATAAATACCTGAGCATGTCATGCCATCTTGGTTTAGTTCATATCCCGCGTGGCACGAACACTTGTTCTGTCCATCTGCTTGATAACAAACTTGTTGGCAGCCATGTTGACCTGTACATACATTTTCAGCTGACGAAAAATAATAATAACAAACATCACGTTAGGAACAATGAAAGTAAAGGTGATTTTTTTAAAATATATATTTTTTTACATGAGTGGCACAGACAGGCGATAATTGCCCTTGAATAAGAATACTCACGTATGCATTTCTTTGAATCAGCAGGATCCACCTTAAAATTTTCATCACATTTGCAATTATATCCTCCTGCGGTATTTTCACATTGATGCATACAGTCACTGGCAGGGGAACACTCATTCACATCTGAAAGCGCAAGAGTACACTGTAAACTGTCATCTTCATACTTCTTTCCAAACGAAGTGGCATTGAGAATCCGATTCAAGGTTTAGGCAAACGTAACACATGAGATTCTTGCTGACAAACTTTCAAATTAAGAAATGGGAGAAAAAAAGACGAGACAAACAAGGTTGAATCGTTCTTACCCTGGCAAGACTTTTTGTCTGCATCGAGATAATATCCATCATCACACTTACATGCTAATGAGCCGGGGGTGTTAATGCAATTGTGCTGACAGCCACCTTTGTTTACAGAGCATTCATCAATGTCTAAAAGAAACGAAGTATATAGAAAACATACTAAGTACATTTTAAGTAAAAGAGTAAGAATACCAACTCTTGAGTATCTGCTAATGAACTCCGGGCTCAAACGGATAACCTAAAGAAACAAACGACAGAAACCGTACCATCGAAGATGTTTGAGCACCGAAGGGCGTTTGTACGATGCTAGCATTCCTTCGTAGCTAACATAAACCGGCTCGGGATTATATATGATCGTTTGAAGGATGACTATATCCCTGGATATTATTTGGAGGCGGGAAATCATAAGTTGCAATAAACGCCTTTATTATATGACTGTAGAGGCCGTGAGCAATTTGAAGCTAATCCCTTGTTCTGATTGGCCACCAGAGCGTGAAAGAAAGGCCCATCTTGACCTTTCGGGATTTCCCTGGTGGTCCAGCCGCAAGACAAGATGGTTGGGTATTGGCCTTGAGCCGTTTTGCCTGGTCAGTAACCTATAATTATGATATACCTGTACAATCAATACCATCTCCTGAGTAACCACTTGGACAGGGGTCGCATTGGAATCCAGTCTCGTTTGCAGGTGGCGGTAAATCAGTACAGGTGACACCTGGGTAACATGGCTGGGAATTTTCTTCGCAGGCGTCAAGATCTGAATCACAAAAGGATCCGGTGTAACCATCCTTACACGCGCACGAGAGAGTGTTGAATCTTTCTGTGTTGTTGGCATTGTTTTCCTCGCTATCCTCTTCTTCATGAAAGCAGCTTCCATCATTAAGACATGCGCAAACATAAATGACTGGACTTAAGACTGTGGTTGCAGTTCCATCCGACACAATGAAGTCTACTTCGATCTGTAAAAGTAAAGTGCTTGTCAAAATTAATTTTGAAGCGGAATACTCAAAAGAGTCTGCATGAAAATATAAATACGAGCAAATGAGATCTATTTGAAAACGGTATTAAAGAAGAATAAAAAAATCAATATCTTATTTTTTCAGAAGCCCCCCACACCAGGCTGAAGACAAACTGTGATTTACAATAACAAACGGTTACCTCCTCAGAGGTAACCCTCCAAGTCAAAGTTATTGACGACGCATCGCTTGTCGTTGTATAACCGGTGGGAAGTGTTCCAGATAAAGTGAAAGTCAAGGAATCGTTGTTAGGATCCTCTGCTGTCACAATAATAGTAGCTGTTTCGTTGACAGTTATATTGACCTCAGTTGGTCCTGTTAGAATCCTTGGAGGGAAATTTTCTGCAAAACATGAACATTATAAAAATAGACTGAGCATTAAAAAAGGACGGAGATCCCTTACTCTAAGCATGGAATTAGTACTATCACGAAGTGCAGAGATGTGTGGCACAGTTTTATTAAATGGTAACCAGGTTTAAGAAGGAGGCCAATGAGATACCATTGGATTTGAATCTAATTTTCATTCATTTGGTCTGGAAAATGGAGAATAAACAAAGATCCGCAAAAAATGAACTACAACTTTGAATTTAAAGCAATAAATGTCTCCATCGTCTACGATCATCTTCAGTTGCATGTAATACAGTTTATCAGCTTCGAAATAACAATTATGGTGATGCATGATGTATCACCATATACTTGTGCATGTATTGTTATATAGACCTTTGTCACGCGGTGGCCTTTTTGTCCCAAGAGATTAAAAAAGATTTGTATTTGCACGGCTAGCGTCGTTTTCACTGCGAGGCTAGCCGTGCAAAAGAAAGCTTTTTTAATCTCTTGGAATAAAATGGCCGCCGCGTGACAAAGGTCTGTTTCAACCCAAAGTTACTGTATTACTTGCAACTGAAGATGATCATACATCAATGAAGAAATGTCTTTCTTCAAATTCAAAATTGTGGTTCACTTTTTACGAATTATTATTCCTATCAGCTGAGATGTCTGTGTTCGGTGTGGTAGAGTTTACATCCAGACTTCTTAAAAGCGGCAATCCTTGGCAAGAAGATACTTGACAGTAACGATATAATAATATTTCAAAATTTATAACGCGCATAATCAAACAACTGCGCCACTGTCTTACCCAATGCCTGTGAGTCAATTTCAATTTGTACAGCTACTTGTTTGGTGCTCTCTCCAACAGATACATCTCCAGTGGAAGCGATGTCGAACAAGCAGTTCACGTCCCCTTGACAAGCAAGCTCTGCTGCAACCCTTAACTCGTTGGTTGCAAAATTTATTGGTTCGTCCAAAAAGATAGGAACAAATGACGCATTAGCGTAAGTGCTTGTGTTTTCTCCAGGATTGTAGGTAAATAGGGTTGTATTCTCCATCACTTGCCCTAGCAAAATAACATATTAGAACATTAGAACATGTACCTTTGTGAACTTTGCACGCGCCTTTTCTTGTTTAAAACATAAATCAAATTATTGGAAAGAAAAATGAAGTATACTGTAGGAAAGATTAGTTCGCAGTTTAACAACTATTTTTTTCTCATTTATGTGTTAAACACTGAGACAAAATGTTAAAGAGCCCCTTGCTTCAACGGTTAATAAACCTCTTGCCTGCACATTTATACTAAATACTGGATAACGAAGGTAGCCGTCTAGAACACTGTTAAAGACTATATAACATGAAATACTATAAACGTGGCACTAAAGTGTGATGAGACTTACAATGTAAGCCAAAATCGAAATGTATCTGACGGCCTGTGGCGTTGGATGGTAGCGTTGTTCCATCAGGTCTCAAGAAGTCATCAAGGGTGTCATCGTTCCAAGTCCCTAAGAGCCCCTTGGTGTTTCCTTTGAAGGATATGGGTGCAGCGCAGACTATAGTAAGAGAGCCTTGTAGTTCAGTGACTGTTACAGATATCCCAGAGGGGAACGTCACGAGGAAGGAGTTGCTTTCTGGACGTGACAGTGCTAGAGATCCATTGACAAATACGCTGGAGTTTGTCAAACCATCGTAGTCATTGTATGGCTGACCATCTATGAGCACTTCCAATCCTCCTGTAAACAATCCAAGCACACAATTTCATATGTTAGGAACATTGACCTGCTTATAGGATGCCATCTAAGGTAAAAGAGAAAAGAAAAAAACTCGTATCGTCTACTGACCTCCTTCTTTCAGAGCAACCTGCACTGTGCTTGTACTTTCCTCCTTCGCCACTGCCGCAGCAAAGATGGTCGCTGTCCCTCCTTTTTTAGCAAGTTTTGTTCTAGCTTGCAGCTGGAAGAACTCATCGTTGATGTCTATCATAGTGTACTCACCAAGTCCGTTGAAAGTGTAGTTTCTGCCGTCTAGTGTCACAACATGAGGATCTCCAAAAGTAGGAGCTGCGATACAAGACAGCAGTTGGTAATCATAAGTAAAATCTCAACAAAAATTTCAAGATACTTTTCAACGAACCTGACGTGGTCTAGTCAAGTTTTTATGTCTTTTGAATCAAGTGAGCACTTTGTGCTGAGTGCTTAATTGTAAAAAATTGTTGTTTTTGTTTATTTGTTTGTTTGCTTTTTCAGTAAAGCTCTGGAGCCCATGGGTAAGGTGATTGTTTGTAGGACCGCCCGTCCGCTCTCTCCATGTCAGCTGACATAAAGTGTCCCATTAACCCACAATTAGAAATAACAATGGGCCATTTCCGAATTCGCAAAGTACGGTAAGATTACATGTAAAAACTTTCATCTAAAAATGCGTTTGTTTGAATAAGAAGGAAGAGAAAAACGTTTTGGTGACTTAGAAATGACACACACACTGTCCTCTTTCATTATACGCCATCCTTATTAGTTTCAGTTGACATTCTAAGAGCCGTTAAAATTAAATGGGATATCCAATGACAGGACGCGGTTAGCCATATTGCGAGTTCACGTACACTTTGAATCGAGGTTGCACGTTTTGAAAACTTTTTCGAATACCAATCGATTTTTTTTACACCACTGGTAATGACAATAGCTAAACAATTGACTGAAACAGATCGCAGAAAGGCATCGAAATTCGACAGAAAGTCGCGTCCTAAAATGCCGAGGAACTGTTATGGTAAAATCAAGGATTTTTCGAGCCAAGTTTAAGTTATTTTGAATGAAAAACAAACTGGCTGGTTCAGCTTTTACACGTACTCAGCTTCGTCATTCCATAATTGTCTGTTCTTTAATGTTCATGACTTTTCTTGTTGCCAAAAATGAGGCAAAAAGTTAAATCGCTTACAATTGAGAAGCCAAAAATAAATAAGTAAAACACAAACACGCAAGAATATCCTACCTTGAACCGGGGGGACATAAGCTTCACAGCCCTCAGATGGCCGCAATTGGTAATATAACTTGCACAGTCTCCCCCTTTTGATTGCTCCAATGCAGCAATATTGAAACCCCAAGACGTCACTTTCTGTGTGGTCATCCTTTAATTCTGGAACTAGCTTATGGAAGCGGTCAATT